CCCCAAAACCCCCAAACCCCAAAACCCCAAAACCCCATATAATATAAAATTTATAGAAAAATAATTCAAATGGATCACCCTGTTAAACCAATTATGATAAACCTCCTCAGCGTGAAGGAAGAGAATGAGGTATTTCCTAACCCCCAGCCCCATCTAGGACCAAAAGAATGTCGCTTTTGATACATACCAGGCAGTAGAACTTCCCAAGAAGAAACCTAGGGAAAGCTCATTAAACAATAGTCCTACAGATAAGATTATTAGTCAGATTTTAGGCTCATTTATAGGCCCTGATAGATCCCAGAGGAACCCTAGTGTCAGAAAGAAGCGCTTACAGAATAGTAGGGCTAATTTTGGGCATTTTTAAGCATATTTTAGACCATGGGATTAGCTCTTTGGTGACCTTTTAACGAAACTTAGGTGGATATTTGGCCAGAAAGATCAAAACAGCTAATGGTAAGTGCTTAAAAGGGAATTTCGAGGTAGATAAATGAAAAATATACTCAAAAAGTCAAATCTATATCTATTCTTTCTGTTACATTGAACAACAGCTACTTTTGAAGACCTCCGTACAACTATCCAGTGATGACAGCGTGCCATTGCAGTTGAAATAGCCAAGAATATGCTATTTTTTACCCTGGCTAATATAGAAAATAAAGTCCATTTTCATTAAGCACAACCTCATCAGTCTTATTTCTGTCTACCTTTAGCCCAGGTTTCCTCACATTAAGGATGCCTTATACTTATCAGTGGTAAATTTGGTTCTTAAAACCCTTGTTCGATATGAATTTATTAGAATTTTGGATAAGTTGAAAACGAGCTCGGGAAGTTATATAATGAAGGACAGATTTTAGTTAGAGAACTGGGATGATTTTTGATGTATGGATTTATGAAAGCTTTGGTCTAACCGAGAAGAACACAACCAAAAAATCCCTAAACTAACCTATTCCTAATTGATCCTATCTAGCGAACCTCAAAGTACCAAAAGACGGAAGAAGTGGAACAATGCATACAAAATAACAGTAATCTATTTCTTAATACTCCAGATTTACAAAATAAAATCCAAGGAAAAGCCTTCAGTAATTTCATTCCCTAACTACAGGTCCTAAAGGCCCCCTCGGCTCAGCAAGGATTGGAGACCCCTCTAATGATTTCTCTAGTGCTACCAACCAAGCTAAAACCAAAAGTCAGCTCATTGCGTAACACTTAGGATCTAAACTGTTCAATGGCGTTTTGAATCCTGAGAAAGAACAAAAGATTAATTTAGAGAACAAAATAAAGTTTTATTATGGAGATTATGTAAGTCTTCGGCAAACTTTCAGTGCTCAAAACTCTATTATTTGCTTGTTTTTACCATTCGAGTCCTTTCATATTCACTTTATTAATACAAACTTGTTATTTAGAACAAAGAAATTCTAATGAATGATCATATGAACTTTGATGAGGTATGCTTAAAGCAAACCCATAGACGGATCAAATTGAAAAGGAAGTACCTCAGTGCAAATGGAAGATCTTTACTGACCTAATATGTACGTTATCCGTATAACCTCTTTTCTAGGTGGTACCTCCGTAAGCTCTTACTTAACGATCAGAAAACTGGGAATTTCAACAAGCTGATGAACTTCAATCAGTTCAGAGAAATACTAAAGAAAGTAACAAACTTTCATTAATTTTATAGATAAATCAGAGGATTTTTACAGACCCAAAGCTGATTGCTAAACTGGTCTTCAGGGATAAATAAGGGAGTCAAGAGTAAGCCTTGCCTAAATCTCTAGGCAAAGGAATCCTAAAGATGAAAAACATGCTGAAAGATATGACACAGAGGAAGAAAGATAAATCTCAAAATAGTTCTAGCATCAGGCTCAAGGTATTTTTAGTGTGGTGATGTCTCTAGAAAGTTAACAAGAAGTTAAAAAGTCCGACTCACGGTATGATTCCGTCCATTTCCTTACTCTCAAAATCTGAGAAAGGCACAGATGAGAATAAGAGACTTCTTGTGGAAGGAAGGGTACTTTCTTTTTATAAATCTAGGTTAAACTCCATTTGAACAAAGATATTTCGAATCAAACTGGCTCCTTGTACTCCGTCAGTGCTATTTTATAGAACAATGAAGAACAGAAAGGATAAGAAAAATAAGCACTTTAAGATCAAGGCCAAAGTTAAACAGAATAAAGGCAGAGATTCCTTCACAACTGTGATGGTAATGATAATTGGCCATTTTTAGGAACAAATTTCTAAGAGATCTTCCTCTCCAAGAATATCTCGAGTCAAGAGATTATCGCAGATGCCGAACGATGAGACTAAAAGACTTCAGGAAAGCAATGGCCAGCGTAGAAGGAAAACTCAGGTGCTTACTTGCCATAGTGGAATTATTAGGCCCCTTAAGTCTCCGAAGAAGATTTCAAGAGGGAAGATCCTCAGTGTAAGCTCTTGTAAAAATATTTATAGGCGGATCGAAAGTTATCCAAAGAAAGAGCTGAGCAGAAGAGGAGATATCTCACGTATTACAATAAGCGTTACAGGCCTTCTACTGCTAGGCAGACAAGGAATTTCAGAAAGCAGATGTAACCCTTCTCTTCGATCTATAGGAATCAAACTCAAGAATCTAATGAATTTATGAACTTGCTGAAGCAACTGAAGCATTTCCAAGAAAGCATTGAAAAGTCAGAGATTCTTGACAAAAACCTTGAATCTGAAGAACTGAGAGGGAGACTCAAAAAGTTGCAACCAAATAAAGAACCCTCTAATACATCTTTACTGTTCTACCCCACAAAAGACTTGGCTCAGCCCTGAGGAGAAGATCTTCAGGAGTCTAGGAACATTTCTCCCAAAGATAGGAGTTATAATGAGTCATTGATAAGCCAAATAAAGAGAGCATATAAGCCAATAGAACAAAAATACGTAAATTCTTCATGCTAGCAGTATTAATTTGGCCAACCTATATCTGGCTTTGGGGTTTTGGGGTTTTGGGGTTTTGGGGTTTTGGGGTTTTGGGGTTTTGGGG